AATTAGTAACTCATTAATTAATTAACTTTCTAATTTTAAACAATGTACAAAAAAAATATCTATTACAACAAAAGAAATTATATTTGAACAAAAACAGATTCAATTTTTAAGAACGACACTTATAAAAAAAAATGAGAAAGTAAGTAGTAATATAATATATTAAATTTTTGTAAGAAATAACATTTATGAAATAAATTCATCAAGTAAAAATAATTAAAAATCTTTTCGTATCCTATAAAAAATTTCATAACATATTATTATTATTATTATAAAATATGGAGAGCCAAAATTGGGTATCAACAAGGGGCACCCCATGCAACCTAACCATTTCCCTCATATACAACTTAGCATAATCTTCTACCAAATATGAAACCTTGATTGGAATGAAATGAGCCGACTTCATCATACGATCCACAATAACCCAAATCGAGTCTTGTTATCGACGTGTGCGGGGTAAACCAATGATAAAGTCCATATTCAAGTTTTCCCACTTTCAAGTAGGAATGCTAATATCTTGGGACAAACCTCTCGACTTTTTATGCTCGACTTTCACTTATTGACAATTAGGACACTTCGCCACAAATTTTGCAATATCATTCTTCATCTCATTCCACCAATAGATCTCCCGCAAGTCACGATACATCTTGTTGGCTCCTTGGTGAATGTAATATCGAAAACTATGAGCTTCTAATAAAATTTGTTACATCAAATCATCAACATTGGAAACACACAAACAACCTTGATATATCGAAGCACACCATCTCCCATTGGGAGAAAGCCTCAACGGATTTCTTAAGCTCTAGTTCCTTCAACTCAACCAAAATTGGATCAAGACTTTGCTTAGCTTTTACACCTGATACAAAAGATGATTCTGAACCATTTTGAACAACTACACCACTTTCCTTATAATCAACCAACCGAACACCCAATCGGGACAATCTATGAACATCGCGAACCAATTCCTTTTTACCTTCCTCAACATAAGCAACACTACTCATTGATAGTCGACTAAGAGCATCTGCTACTATATTTGCCTTACCGAGGCGATAGAGGACACTCATGTCGTAATCCTTTAGCAACTCAAGTCACCTCATTTGGCGAAGATTTAGATCTTTTTGCTTGAACACATATTGCGAACTTTTGTGATCAATAAAAATATCAACATGGACACCATACAAATAATGCCTCTAAATCTTTAAGGCAAAAACAACAGTCGTTAATTCCAAATTATGGGTAGGATAGTTCTTTTCATGAATTTTAAGTTGCCTCAAGCATAAGTAATGACTTACCTGTTTTTCATATGAACACATCCTAATCCGATTCTTAAAGCATAATAATAAACAACGAACCCATCAGAGCCTTCTAGTAAAGTCAACATCGAAGTAGAGGTAAGCCTATCTTTCAACTCTTGAAAACTCTTTTCACATGCTTCCAACCATAAGAATTTAACCTTCTTTTGGTTCAATGCAGTCAATGAAATTGATGAAAACCCTTCCACATACCTTCTATAATAACCGGCCAAACCCAAGCAACTTTGAATATCCGAAGGGATAGAGGTCTAGGCCAATTCTTAACAACCATTGTTTTCTTAGGATCAACCTCAATTACTTTACCAGAAACAATGTGACCAAGGAAAGTCATAGATCTCAACCAAAACTCACATTCATTAAATTTAGCATGCAATTCATGATCCTTGAGAATTCGCTACACAATCCTCAAATGTACAAAATGTTTATCCTCACTTTCGTGAATAAATCAAGATATCATTGATAAACACAATCACAAAAATATCAAGATATTATCTAAACACTCTTCATAAAATCTATGAATGCAGTTGGAGCATTAGTCAATCCAAATGAAATTATCAAGAATTCATAATGACCATATCGAGTTCTAAAAGTCATTTTCAAAATATCACTTTCTTTCACCCTCAATTAGCGATAACCCGACCGGAGGTCAATCTTAGAGAAATAGCTTGCTCCTTGGAGTTGATCAAACAAATCATCAATCCTTGGAAGAGGATACTTATTCTTAATAGTAACTTCGTTCAATTTTTGGTATTCAATACACATACTAAGTGAACCATCCTTCTTACGAAAAAAAATCGGAGCATCCCATAGAGAGATACTCGATTGGATGAAACCCTTATCCAACAGATATTTCAATTACTCCTTCAATTCTTTAAGTTATGCCAAAGCCATACAGTAAGGAGGAATAGAGATAGGTTGCCTATTCGGGAGAAGGTCCACACGAAAGCCTATTTATCTTTCGGGAGGAATATCGGGTAGATCATTAGGAAACACTTCTGAAAACTCATTTACAATGGAGACCGACTCAAGAATAAGTGTTTCAGAATCCGTATCCCTAATCCAAACAAGACGATGATAAATGGAACCCTTAAAAGTCATTTTCCTAACTTTAGGACAACAAATAAACTGACTCTTAAGAATAGAATTTCCCTTTTTCCACTTTAAGACGGGATCATAAGGAAATTCAAACTAACCACACATATTTTACAATCAACAGAAGCATAACAAAAATGGACTCTGTGGAGGAATATACTTCATGGGTGAATACCCACATGCCTTGCTACTCAAAGCTCAAGATGAATGGTGAATTGAAGACCTTGGAGTGAACCCTAGCTTCTTCTTCTTCGATTGAGAGGGAATTTGGGAGAATAAATTTGGTTGGATTTTGAGGGATTAAGAGACTGGGTTACAATGGGTAGATTTATGACTTAAAATATATAGGACTTAGGATAGAGTCCAAAACGACATAGCATAGGCTTAAAACATTTAGGAAAGACCCAAAAATCTCTTAAAATTAATTGTTGAACTCTTCTATGGTTTGGAACCGTCCTGGTCAATTGTAAAAAAGTTTAGAAGCCTTAATTTTGACAAACTTTTGACAAAACATGTCTACGGCCCATAAGACTTTCTACATCCGTAGACCCCAACCGTAGAAATCAACTTTGACCTTAAAATTTCACCAAGTCTGGGACCTTCCTACGAGACCTACCTACGACTCGTAGACAATTCGTCAGACTCTCCTGTCAATCGTAAACTCAACTTCAGAAACTTGATTTTCAAAAATTATTTCTCCCCTTCTGCGAGACTGGTCTACGACCCGTAGAAAGTTCTACAAACCGTAGACTAGTCTCGTAGGCCTGAACCAATAGACAAAATTCATCAATTTTTTTTTTTTGAAATCTGAGGTGCTACACCTTGGCTTAACCAATGCATAAAACATATCCCACATGATCACAAAATGTACATATCTGGTTATTTCATGAAACCCACACACAAACTGTTAGTTTATCAGAGCGGTATTCGAGCCAACCATTAATGGTTCATACCATGCGTGGTATCTGAGCTAACTGTTAGTATTTTGTACCGACGGGGTACCCAAACCAATTATCGATCACAAACAGTATGCACAATCACAATGAACAACCGACTTAAAACCATCAGTAAATAATCAAGTTCATTGTATTAGATCATCACATGAAGTCATTTCACATTAGCCTTCTAGTTTCCCCCATATGTATCACACAAATAATAATACAAAGCAGTTAACATACACATATTACATACTTTGGAATACAAACAAACTATCACATGTCTCGAATCAAGCTTTTGAAACTCTAAAGAACGTAAGCTTTTCCTTTTTGTAATGTCTTAGCTTATTCTTGGTCTAATAATAAATAAAAAAATCAATCAATAATGGCCTAACAATACCCAGATTATAACCAAATCCTAACCCCCGACCAATTCATAATCATTTCATCCAAACTAGGACTTCTCCCACAATTTCAAGTCAAAACCCTCTCCCAAGAGTAACACTCTAGATTCTAAGGCTTAAGAATAAATTAAAGTTAAGAGAGTAAATCAGTTACCTTTATTGAAGATATTGGTGGAAAAATGGATGGAAACTACCCTAAATGACCTTCCATTTTCCCAAGAACAAAGTGCAGAAAATAAGAAGTTTTGAGAACTTTTCTGCATCAAAATCCGACTTTCTTGCTATAGCGGCCCGACCTGCTAGCGATGTCACCATAGCAGCCCACCCACTATAGCGCCTGTAAATTCATCCCGCTATAGTGGTGTAATACACGCTATATATAATGGCTTGCATGGAATCAAAGACTCGTAAAACTTCCTAGAATCCCTCATTTCACAACATACCTTCGACCTAAGTTTGATACCAGAAGTTTTACTCGATCACTCAAATTCTATTTTGAAAGGCCATATGGGTTTATTAATGTCTTACCTACTAGAAAACATGATCCAAGCTTAGACACACCACCCAGTCCATTCTCGAATGGCCATAGATCTCACCCTGCTCAGATTCCGTCTGCGATTGGCCTAGCCTAGAATTTTAAGTCTCTACCCAAAAAGTTCTCTAACCCGATTCTTTCACCATTGGTCTACCCATAAAGATGGGAGCGGGTCGTTACATTAATACTATTGCAGAGAAAATAAATAAGTTTTGAGCATCAAACAGGTGTCGAAATGGATTGAAATTAGAATTAATAATTAAAACTACATCACTTTATTAAATGCACACATAAAATAAGAGAAGTCTTAATTAACACCCCAAACACTACAACAAAAACAACTTTTAGTGCCAATAAATATAGACATTAATAAAGAGTGCTAAAATCTTTACTGGCATTAGTTAAGTGTCATTAGAACTAATGTCGCTAAAGGCTTTAGGGACATATACAAAGTGTGCTAATTGCCGCTAAAAATACATATTTAACAGCAATTAAGCAATTGTTGTTAATTAATTGCCACTAATAATCATTTTTAATGTAGTGAAACATGAAGTTTTGAAACTATATACCACCCGATGATCTTTTTGTGATCCATCTGGTGATCTTCTTGGCTCTTAGGTAAGTGAGCGCCACCTTGCAATTAGTATCATGAAACCAATATTTGATTTTGAACATTAAACATAAACTCTCCATTTTTTTATGAAAAAGAATAAAATAGGAATTGAACTGAACCTGAAAAGATGAATATATATATAGATAAAAAGCAAGTTAAGAGGGGTGCTTAGCTCCCTTCCAAAGGACTTTATAATAGTGACACAAAACAACAACAAAATATAATACTAAGTATATATTGTTGTCTAAATAAAATTCAGAAATCATAGTACAACTAATTTTGCCAGGGTGATTGATTTTGATTCTGATGATGATGATGTTGATCAAATGAAGCAAGAGCATCAGAAGAAGAAGAACCCATGTAATGAAGAGCAGCAGGTGTAGTAGTAGTATTGAGAAAATCCCTGTGATGTGGAAATGCTCTAAGACCCAAAAAATCTCTTGTCAACCCTTCATTATTTTCTTTACCTTGTCTCATCAAATGTGCGCCGCGACCAAATCCTTCATCAAAACTAGTACATGGCAAAGAAGGCGCAGTAGTAGCCATCATGTTTTGCATGTCATGGACTTGTTCCATGAACCCAGGGGTGACACTCGCACCAAAATCATGAAAAGACGTACTACCAGCAGTAACAAAATCAGTATTATTATTATTATTATTATTATTTTCAAACGGATGATATTCACATGACGCTATATCACCACCACCTCCTCTTCCTGCTCCTGATCCTGACATTGCCATGGCAGTTGTTGTACTAGTAGTAGGACTGAAAAATGTGTTCGCGCTCATGTTATTAGCAGCATGAGAAGAAGAAGTTACTCCAATTTGTGCTGCTTTTTGTAGCAATGCAGTTGCGCTCATGTGAGGAGGTGGTGCACCGAATATGTTATTACTGCTATTGCTATTGCTATTAGGGTTTTGAATGAATAACTGAGAAGAGAGATCGTTACTTTGTTGTTGTTCTTGTTTCATTTGGAAGTTTTGAAGTGTATGGAGATTAAGGTGATGAGAAGTTGAAGAGTTTGGTGGTGGGATTATTGTTCTTGAACTTTCTTCTGTTAAAGCATCACAAAAGGCTCTGTGTGTAATGAAACTATCTCTCCTGTGTAAAGAAATAAAGATATCACACATGATGAATAGTTGAATATTGTGTGGTGTACTGATAAAAGTGCATGAGTGCTCTCTATTCCGTCAACTCTTTTTTTGTGTTTTTCTTTCTTTCACTTTTATCTCTTCTAGCTTTAGAGACATGCATTTCATTTATTATTATTATTAGTAGTAGTAGTTGTAGCAGTAAAATAAGAATATAATCTGCAGTAAAGTTTTTGGATGCAAATTGCTTTTGCAGCAAAGTGTGGACCCTCTATTATCACTCTCACATAGAGACACACAAATAGACAAACTCATTTATTCAGTTGTACACATGAGCTTACACACGTGAACTTTTAGGTAGTTTTGATTCAAAATACTAAGTTTGATCCTAGAGTTAGGTAGATATTAGTTATATATGAATTAGTTATGCAGAAATGTATGTGTTATTTTATATAGAGATCAGTTATTTATGTATTAATCATTTTATTTTGCATAAAATTATACATAAATTTCTTCTTTAACTTATATATCACTTAATTATGCAGGTATATAAATTACAAACCAAACCCTCTATTAATTTTATAAATAGTCCTAACTAAACCAACAACAAACATTATGTAAAATCTAATACATGTGTAATATTTCTCCTAATCAGCTATCACACTATCCCTAATTGATTGAAGAAACATTGTACATAAAAAAAAAAAATCTATTTACTAATAGCGACAATGTAGTATATAAATAAGAATGCCATTTTTTTTATAATTAGACATAATTTGACCTTAAAATTTCACTTTTACTTTTACTGAAATGATTTATAATCACATAAATATTTAAAGTTTATTTAGACCACACATTTCAAAAGTCAATCTTTTTTTACAAAACTTTGTACAAAAAATCAAACAAAAATTGGGACATAGGAAGTAGTCGTTTACTAGGTTCTTCATAGATATTATTTAAAGGAGCACATATTAGGTGGATGCTTAAACACAAATACAAAACTTGAGCTATAATTATTGGGTTTGGTAAATTATAATATCACCTCTTATAACATGTTATATCGATAATTAGATTAAAAATAAATAAAATCCTATAGTAATTAATTGAAGAGGATTAATAATGGAGAGGGTAAGAAAATTGAGAAGCAATATATATAGTTGAGTAGAATACCTAGAGAAAAGGGTTCCACAATCACATCTATACTCTCTTGTACCACAAATCTTAGAGTGAGCTTTCCAATCAGATTGAACTGCATAACGTTTTGAACATTTTTCACATTTCCATTTTTTCTCACCATGTTTTCTACAAAAATGCTTCTTAATCCCAGTGAGATCCCCTAATGCTCTTGATGGATGATGATGTACACATGATGGTTCTGGACACACATATACTTTCTTCTTCACCTCTTTATTTGTTCTTTGCTTTAATTTCCATGGCAAATTATGTCCTCTTCTATGTAGTTGAAGATTTTGATCTCTTTGAAATCCTTTGTTACAGATCTCACATACAAATCTATTTGTTGCCAATAGACTTCTTGGAGATAATGCTACAACTTCTGCTTCTGGATCTAATACATCAAAATTATACATATATATAGAGTTTAGTAATTGCTATATAACATACTTATATAACTTATATCTTTTCATGTATTGAATTCCAAGCCAACCAAAACAAAGTAATACTCTATTTGTCTCGTGGCATAATTGAAACTTCGAGACTCAAACTTCTAAATTTTGACCATGAATTCGAATATAGAAACTTTCAATTACAATAATTAACGACTCAAAATATTTAAAAGACGTATAAAAAAAATCTGATCAAGGAAAAACATAAGTTGACTCTCGAAATTTGAACCGTGCGACATAAGATGGAGTAATAGTATATAGTTACCTGGATTTCCTGGTAGATTTCTCTTCTTCTTGTTAGGAGGTGGTTGGGTTTGAATGTTTTGTAGTTGTGGGTAGAGAACACTACCAATTTCAATTCTATTATTGGTTGAAGATATGCTTGCTTCATTAGATGCACTTGTTAAATTTGACATACTATCATCTCCTAGCATACCCTTTATCATTCTCTCATAAACTTGAAAAAAAATAAAAAATAAAAATAAAAATAAAAGGGTAGTAGTAGTGTAAGAGATGTAGTTTGTTGTTTATATATATATTTTTGGCTGCTTTGTCTGAAACCCTAGAGATGACAAAAGGTAAAAGAAGAATTATAGATGTAAGAAAGAGGAAAAGCAAAGAGTAATAATTAATAGTTCCCTATCTTGTTCAAGAAAACTAAAGGTCTGAGTGAAAGCTGCTATAGCTAATAGCTAGCTAGCAAGATTATATATATTTAATAAAAGCCATACACAAGAAAACAAATGAAACCAAGCAAAATTATAAGATTCTTTATAGATAATAAAAAGGAAAATTAATTATTTTAATTTTAATAAGAGAGAGAGAAAGAAGAGTTGTGGATGAGAAGGTATAGTCATATACCCCATCAAAACCATAGCCAAAGGGAAGGAAGCTTGCTCTGATGTTACATTTTGTCTTTTCCTCTATTCTCTTTCTCAAATATCAATCATACAAATGTTACCTCTTTGCATTATTATACTAATTTCCTCATTTCATTCTGATCCTCTTTTAGGTACAAGTTTTATTTATATATTATATTATCTGTTTCAAAATAAGTGGTATTTTTAGTTTGGACATATTTCTTAAGAAAATTACTCATTCTTGAAATGTAAGATGCATTTTTACTTACTCTCAACACACTTTGAAAATAACGTATTCCTTCCGTCCTATTACATATGACACCATTTAATTTGACACAGTGTTTAAAAAAACAAGATTTTTGAAATTTATAATCTAAAATAATCTTTAGATATTTGTGTGGTTGTAAATCAATTCATTAAGGGTAAAAGAAGAATTTTAAAATTGAATTGCTTCTAGTTATAATAAGGTGACATTTTTTGGAACGGACTAAAAAGAAAAGAGTGTCAACTGTCACATATAATGGAACGAAGGAAATAGTTATTTAGTAGTTTCTTGATTGTGTAAAACTCTTTTTATTTAAATAAAGGTAAACTTATAAAACACCACTTATTTTAAAATGAAGAAAATTATATTTTACATATTTTGTCTTTGATAGAGTTTGATCCCTAATCTTTATAATTTTCACTCACTTTATTAATCAGACTATGACTTCATTTTTGAGCGTTTAATGAAAGTGCTACTATATGATATGCTTGTGGTCGTAACTTAATTAGCTAATCAAAATGGATCATTTAAAGGAGTGCCTAGCAGCCAAAAACTACACGAAAATGTCCATTTTAAAAAAAAAGATAATATTACACTCCATAGCTATTCAGAGAAAAATAATTACAAAATACCTACTCCCTCCCTCCACTATTGTTTATCAGGTATACTAAAAATAGTTGTAATTGCCAATTTAAACAATCAAATAACAATTAGTCACTTTTTTTCAATTTTGCCCTTAATAATTACATAACTACTAGTTTCAAAAAGTAGTCATTTTAAAGTTACAAGACTACTTTAATGTGAAAAAAGTTATTTTTACAGTTTTCAAAAAGTAAAAAGCATTTTAATAATGATTGAAAGTAGGGCTATATTAGTCAAATTGCACCTTATATTAAATTTTTCTTAAGGATTGTGCATGATCTTACCCTGACAAACAATAATGGACGGAGGAAATAGTAAACAAGTACGTTGCATACTTTTGGGATATACAATTCACATGTAAATATATGTATATAAAATGTGAATGGTATATCTTAAGGTGTACACCATATGTAACTGTTCACTAGAAATTGTCTAGCGATGTTTTATTATTATAAATAAAAATGAAAACTCACGGATAAATACAAATAAGGAGCGCTTAAGTCTTATCTTACCATATGTAACTGTTGATTTATGTATGTATATATATTTCTTTTTTAGTGGAAGAATTTTGTAAATAGGTACAGACAGTTAAATATTTTATTTCACCTAGGTAATCAATCAAAATAGGGGAAAGCAAATCTTTTAAATAATTGAATCTATAATCTAACTGTGTTTATACTGTTTACCCTGTGGGTAGTAGCAGTACCAAAAAGTAACATGACTTTTCATACTCGTGCCTCTACACCATCTTCACATGATTGGTTTATTGATTAACTTCCAAGAAACATATTTGCCCATGAAAGTTCCTCTAATATTCCTTCCTTTCAATCTATTCATAAATAATTGAGTTAAGGGTAAAAAACAAATTCAAAGTATATCGATTTTTTGAGTTTTATATTTGAATTATGAAATATATGAATACTTGAACTATAGATAGTTTACTATTTTACTCCTATACTAAATTGAAATCTAATTATATAATCATATTTGATTTACGTAAAAGGCAGAATTAGAAGTCCAATAATTGCACTTTAATTTCTTAGTTATGACATTTTAAATTTCCTTAGTTCTTACTAAGTATTCACAAACGTTATTCACAACCTCATATATTCTTTAGTTGTGGTAATTTTTAAGCGAATTATAAATAAGATGGTCAAACACACATTTAATGTATTTCTTTTTTAGAGTTTCATATATGAAATATTATGTATATGAGTTTCCTACCTGAACTATCGTCAAATGTACTTAAACGAAATACACTTCAATTATCAATAGCTCACTATATCTACCTAAACGATAGAGATATTTCAGGTAGGAAAAGTGAACAACTAATAGTTGAGATGTGTTCCAACGAACATTTGGTGATAGAAACAAGTATGAAACACTCACACACGTGATAGTTCATGCATGAAATTAAAAAAATAAACTACTTTCAAATCCTTCACTCTAAATATTTTTTAATTTTCTTTCCTGCTAGTTTTATAATTAAAATTTGGTTCTTGTTCATGTCAATCAACTTTATATTGTTTGTTAATTTTAAATGAATTTGGTACAATCAAAGCTTCTTTATTAAGTGTTTAATGTTTTGACATAATTATGCATCTTTTTTTTTTTGTGAATATTAGGGAATGAAAGATACATATAACATATATTGGTCCCCCTATGTGCCCTTCCAAGTTCCATCAGAACCATGACTCACTTATCTTGTTATTTTGATGCATAGTCAAGAAAAGGAGGGAGAAATTTAGTTTAGTCAATCTCTTCCATGATTGCCCTCTTTGCCTTTTCCCTTCTTTTATTGTTGTGATGAATGACAAAAATAGTGGGAAAATGATATATTCAAATGTTTTTTACTTTTCTGCCTAACATGTTTTTTTTTCATAATAAGGAAAACCCGCTATTGCTATCTTTTTGGTGCGCATAGGGTAAAACCCTTATTCTTATGTAGTAGCTCGCAAATAATATAGAAGAGGTAATCCGCACTAGACAAGCCCGATGCAACGAGCTCGATCCACGTGTTTTGTTTATTTCACAAAGCTTTTAACTAAAATTGGATATTTGACTCTTATTGTTTGTAAATATTTAGTTCGACAAATCAATAGCACATTTTTTGTATATAAGAGTGAAAACAAATTTTGCCTTTGAATTTATAATTCATTAAGGAAAGAAACCAATGCATAAAAATGGGACATCCTACTTGAAACACAAAAAAGAGCAAAAAAAATTTCGTCCCCCACAAAAAAGGTGTAGATTATTGATTGAAGAAATAAACTTATTTTCAAGCCAAGTTTAACTAGCAAACAAATAACGTGACTTCCTTATGGAATGAAATTGTCTTTTTGTTCATTCATGTTTTCAATATGTTCTTGTCTTAATAAATATTTTGAAATAGGAAAAAAAAGTTTCAATTTGTAACTGTTTACTCCCTCTGTCCCTAATTACTTGTCAATTTTTGAATTGACACACCTATTAAGAAAATAATTAATGACATAGTGAGTTTACCATTTTACCCCTATTAATTATGAAGTGGATGAAAAGTTCTATATTTTTAAAAAAATTTATAATTTAACTGAGGGTATAATAGGTAAAAAGAATTTGTCCTTTCTTGATTTGTCAAAATGGACAAGTAATTAGGGACAACTATAAAAGGAAAAGTGAACAAGTAATTAGGGACAAAGGGAGTATTAGTTTTATTTTGTCACTTTTATGCCTTGAAGTTCCATTATAGGAGTAAGTGATTTATTCGTTTCTCTTTCGACATATATTCCAACCCATTGTTGGCATGACACACACATTAAGAAACAATAAATAATAGAGATAATATTATTACATTAATTTTTGAATATATTAAATTTAATGTTTTGGAAAATATATTAGATATTGAATACTCTGTACTTAATGACAAGGGTAAAATACATACAAACTGATAAATTATCTCTTAATTTTCTAAATAAGACAAATATTATTGGATAACTATTTTTAGTACAGTGAAGAGGTACGAAAGAAAGAAGATTATATTTCTGCAGCCTAGCTAATTCATTTTTCGGCCAGAGTGCACAAATAATGGCTTTTGAGGCTGCTGTTTTAGGTTGTGCTTGTTTTTTTAATTAGAGTTTTTTTTTTTTGCAAGTTTATTAATTGGGAATAACTTCAAACATGAAATTAAAAATTTGCATCTAACTTAAGACTTCCGAAGATTGGTAATAGACTAATTTCTTTTTTTTTGAAACTTTTTTTTCTAAAGAAAATCAACATCCAAAGGGCAATTTCTTTAGTGACAAAAAATGAAAACCTTTAAAATTGATTAACATCAGAATTTGAATAAATAAAATTACCAAACCCAATGGTTGGTATTTGTTAAAAAAAAATATTTAAAGGAAATGACCTTGAAAGGTCAGTATTTTTAACTCAAAAAGGTTTTAAAAAAAATTAGCCACCTCAGCAGATCGATCAAATATTTTTAAAATTATTTCTTCTCCCCATTTTACTATTGCCAATGTCGTCTGAACGCTGCTAAGTGCTAACGACCAACCATCCTCGGCACTCATTCCCAACTTTCATCTCCACGATTTTTGTCATCTCAACCATTGTCGTTGTTCTTACCAACTACCGCAACTGTAAACCACCACTAAGTGATGAGTTTTGGATGAAGGCAATGCAAAAAATTGGGACTTTAATTAAAATACCTAAGAATGTCTTTGTAATAAGAACCAAACGGGTATTCAGAAACAAGCTAAATAATTAAAAAGGCAAGGTCATCAGGAACAAAGTAATTAAGTTTAGTTGCTCAAGGACACTCCCAACCAAAAGATATGGACTACGATAAAACCTTTGCACCGTCAGAATCAATTTACATTGTACTAGCTAGCCTTGACAAAATATGAAATCTGCAACTACAACGGAAGATCTAATTTGAGAGAGAAGAGAGATGTGAGATGTGAACTGATATATTTCATTGATTGGAAAACTGAATTCACAATGCATTATGTACATACATATATACTTGAT